GTATATTTCTTTGGGGGTCCTGTACGCGGGGTTTAGGCGCATATGGGGAAAGATCTTAAAACGGGAGGATGACATACGGGGTAGAAACATATATCCGAAGTTTCAGCTCCCCAGCTTTCCTGGTTGCTGAGATGAAAGTGGGTGACAAAATGCACTCGCTTTCTGAACACACAGACAGGCAGCCTCTCGACAATATGCGTTTTTGCTGGCTGTACCAGCGCTATAGCGCTGCAAAGCAAAAACGCATAAAAATTATATAATATTTATATAATAATTTTTTTCCACTTCTTTTTAGCCAATGATTCAGGAACGCAGTTGCATTCCTTTGTGTTTACAATTTTCCTCCATTTTTGTCCTTCCTTTTTTTATGCGTTTTTTGCAGCTGTGCAATGCAAAAACGCATATTGTTGAGGGGTTGTCTGTGTGTGTGTCTGTGTTTGTGTGCGCAGGTGTCTGTGTGTGCGTCAGTAACGTATTTTCATCTTGAGATCCATAAAATCTACAAGCTGAAACTTTGGTAACTTAGCCTCCAAATACTTGCGGGCTTCTATTCTCAAAATGGACGCTCGGTTCCGCATAGTTCTCACGTACGGCTACGTGAAAATTTTTTTGACTGGAAAACGATTTCAGGAACGACCCATGCTAAGGGGCTGGAATTTCGCAGAATTGTTTCTTGGGCGTGTCTAATCCAAAGTTTCAAATTCAGCCTTTACGCACCCCCAGGTCTCACATTCACAAACGTCAAAGTTTAAAATGACATCATTTCAACTCCAGATTTAAGCTGACCAATAAGCTGCAGAGAGCTGCAATTTTGCAGCCTTATTTGTCGCCCATTGTTGTGTCCGTGAAAATAAATTACTTGTCAGCTCTTCTGCATCTCACGTACGAACACGTGAAGATTTCACGCATGCGCTTTTGTAACTGTAGAACTGAACCAGCCAGAGGACCTGAACTTTCTGAGCATAACTGACCGTCGCTTTTGACCAGATGCACGCAAAAGCGACTTACACATCACTTTCACGTGCGCATGCGTGAAATTTGACGGAACTCCGCAACCAGAGCAGCGGAGCGCTAAAACTTTTTGAGCGTTACCCAGGACTGTGTTTGAGCAACCGCAGGCGAGGGAAGCATTCACGTTGCCACTCACGTATGGATATGTTAAATTTGACGTGTCTTTGCAACCAAAGCGGCTTGAGTGCTGGAAGTTTCTGAGCGCTGCTCAGAACCGTGTTTGAACAACCATAGGTAGAGAAATCATCCACGTTGCCAATCACGCATGAAATTTGACATAACTCCCCAACCGAAGCATCCAGAGCGCTGAATTTTTTGGGCATTGATTGGGAGCCATTGTAATAATTTCTAACAGTCGTGGTGGCCAGTCTCAGTTCTTTTAGCTAAAAGCATCTGCCAGAAAGAGCGTGCCACTGGCGAAAAAAACCTGCTGGGAAACTTTGCAGAAAACGCATCTTTGTGCCGGCAGCCGGTACGCTTTCAACTAAGTTTATACCTATAAAAACCTTTTCGTTTTCCACTTGTCCTCTTATCTTATTTTGACCTCCTACTCCTATTCCCTTTTTATGCGTTTTTGCATATATGCAAAAACACATGCTGTGACGATCCCGGGGGTGTGTATGTATGTGTGTGTGTGTGTGTGTGTGTGTATGTGTATGTGTGTGCGTTTTTTTTTTTTGTCCGGGTATTTCAACCCGGCACCCAAGCAAGCTTCGGCGCCAAAATTTTAAGAGTAGGTTCTCCGGCCAAGTGCCACCCCAGGACCGCGGTACTACCCTCAAGCACGTCTAGGCCCCGCGTACGAGCGCCTCAAAGTTTTGGCTGGAAAATCGTTAACTTGAGAACCAGAAGAGCTAGAAGGCTGAAATTTTGGGATTATGTTCCCCGTCTATATAGAACTCAAAGATTTCAAATTTAGCCTCCAGAGACTCGTGGTTCTCGCGTACGGCCCCGTGAAGGTTCCTGGCGCCAAAATCGCTAGCTCGGGAACCAAGAAAGCTGGGAGGCTGAAACTTTCGAGGAATGTCCCCAACTCATCTACAACTTAAATTCATCAAATTCAGCCCTCCGTTATGCGTGGTTACCACGTACGCCCTCGTGAAATTTTCTGGCTGGAATTTGGATAACTCGAGAACTGAGAAAGTAGGGTACTTGGAATTTCAAGGGAATGTTCCCTGTCCAAGTATAGCGTGGATAATTAACTTCCCGAAATTCGAGTACCAGTATGTACAAAAGGTTTCTAGCTAGCAGAATTTCGAATGATCTTATTACAGCACGAAACACTGCGAAAACGCATGATCGCATGGGCCCGCCCAGTGCGCGTCGCCAATGATTTTTCATCATCTCCTTTTATCTTCCTTTTCCCCAAATTCCTAAAATTTTCTCCAAATCATTACATTATCCCATGGGGCAGGCCCTTACTCCCTTTATAAACCTCTTCACCTTCCCTCCTGGCCTCAGTTTCCTCGACCAGCATCGACTTCATCGGTCCTGGCTCTCCAGCTACGACTCCTGCCGACCCAATCTACGCACACGACTGCGACTTGGATCCCTTCGCCTCGAAGCCAGAATTATTCGACCTCGGAACCTCTCGCTAAATCCCCTGCTCAACAGGCCATCCCGTTCGTCAGAGCCCGAGCGTCAAGCTTTGTGCATTATTGCTATTGCCTTTCTCGTAAGAAGTAAGGCATAAAACATTTCATTTCATTAACTGGCCCTCTAGTCTCCATACCACGCCACACAGTGACCCACACCCCATAAAAATTTTTACTCTACTACTAATACTACTGTCGCGTTAAGCTATGTTTGCGAAACAGTTTTAGATTTCAGTGATTTATGTTCATGTTTTGATTCTCAGGGATTAATTATTACTTATTTTGTCGCAAATCTGCACATATGGTGTTGTTTTTTTCTCAAATCTGGACATGTGATGTTTTTGTCAAATATTTAAAACATGTTGACAAAAACAGATCGAGGAGTGGCTACAGATCTTCAGCTGGTAACAACGGATTGGCATGAGGTGGCAATTTTGGGAGGCTAAGGCGGCTCGCAGGGCTTGGTGAAAGATGGGGTGCTTCGCTGCTGGACGCCGGTATTCTTGGCCCTACACGCCGATATTTCTTTTGATTTTGCATGTGGAATGTTCGTACTCTTGCTTATACCTGAGGTACGAATAAACATTTGGTATTGCGAAAATTTCCGCCTTACTTTTCCTCTCAGATAAAGCTGGCATATTTGTCAGCTGACGAAGAGAAAAGAAGAAAGAGTAACAAGCGACTGAGATAGTCCAGGGCATCTGCACTACATTAGAATTGCTAAGAACCCGGACGAATAAAACAGGAGAATTGTTGCAACCACTGAACCACCGAATTCTTCTCTCTAAGTCTCTGAATCGGAACTTAATTCCGCTAAAGCTTTCTTCTGCAACTACTACTACTACTATTCCTACTACTAGGCTACAAATAAGGAACAAAAACTGCATTGAAATAAATTTATAATTTATGAGTAAAGTGGCCGGGAAAGGAGTCGCTTTAAATTCAATCAGCAAATATCGAAATTTGACTTATATGAATAGGCAGGGCATTCGAATGCGAAAAGTGGTCAAGAAAGACGGCCCGAGGCAATTATGGGTGTCGCGACAAAGCACGCCGCGCAGTGCATGTCCCAATCTACTTTTTTTAAGCACTGGAGTAGAGCAGCGCAGCGAAATTGCCACTTGCGACTGCTTTGTGTCCAATGAGCTTGTTGGATTAGAAGTGTGAAAACATGACGATCGAGACCAAAAGCTTAATTTATCCGAATTGCCCTTCATCGTCTTTTAATTTATCCGAATTGCCCTTCATCAGGATCTTTTTCCGAAAGCAAGAGTCCGGCTTTTTAAGCACATGAGAGACGAGTGGATGCGTGTACGTGCACTAGCAGTTCCCCAACTCTAAAAGTGTTTCGAGATCACACAAGCAAAATCACAACACACACAGACGCAAGGACACAAGTACTCACACGTTACAAACATGCGAATAAATGCACAAACTACATAAACGCATGCATATATATATATATATATATAT